TGGTAAATCGAAGTCATCTGTTGAGAGTGAGAAAAGATGAGGAAGAGGTGGAGACTTGGTGGGAGAGAGGGTACAGGAACAACGCTGCATAGACTTTGGAGACACATTACTTAAGTGGTGTATTAGTTAGGATTTCTATTGTGATAAAATACCACAACTAAAAGCAACCTGGAGAGGAAAGGGCTTTTTAGCTTACAAACCTCAGGTCACACTGAGGGAAGTCAGGGTGGGAACTCGAGGCAGAAACCAAAGCAGAGGCCAAAGAGGAATACTGTTTACCGGCTTGCTCACCCTGCATTTTTATACAACTGGGACCACCTGCTCAAGGGTGGCACCACCTCTCAGTGGGCTGAACTTTCCCACATGAGTCACAATCAAGAAAAGGCCCTACACACTTACCTACGGGCGATCTGATGGCAGCATCTTCTCAACTGAGTTTTCTTTCCCCAGATAACTCTAGTTGTGTCAAGTTGACAAAAACCTACTAGGACAAGCAGTGTGCATTTCAATACAGGCTGATAGACACACTCTTCTCCAGGATCTAGACAGGTTAGTGTGGTCCTCACCCCGCAGCAAGGAAACTTCTCTTTGCAACAGAAAGAGACCATTACAGAAAACCACAACCAATCAACCAAAATGCAGAGTTGTGGAGCCCACTCCCAGTGGGTACATCTACGGAACAACTCCCACACCTAAGGCTCAGAGACCATTGCAGAAGAGGGAGTGGGAAGACTGTGAGAGCCAGAGGGTCAGGGAGTTTGCATCTCCTAGGAATGTCAGAAGCTCCACCCATAAAGTCTCACCAACGTGACTGCTCAAATGTGAGCTGATCAAGGACAACGGTAAACATGCTGAAGTGGATGGGGAAAGCCCACAAAATCTCCACCCTTCACAAAGAACTACAGGCAACCAAGAATTGATGAGCGTGGGAGAAACAGTCTTCCTCCTCAGGGAAGAGCATACCACATGGTTATCCAATATCAAATGATCATCCCTTAAAACACACATACAAGGAGCATTATACAGACTGAGAAGTATTTATGTATTTAGGAATATATATGTATATTCACATGCATACATATATGTAACAACAATTAGTGAAAAAAAGAGGACATGAATTTGAAAAAGAGCAAGGAGGAGAATATAGGAGGGTTTGGAGGGAGGAAAGGGAAGGGGGAAATGATGTGATTATATTATGATCCCCCGAAGTAAAAGTACAGGCTGATTCAAGTAAATTCAGAGAATGATAATGGCATGCACCAACAGAGGTCATTGTGCATCCTCTTAAACCAGCACACCTGGATCAGCAAGGTCCTATTGTCTCCACCAGAAAAGGACTGAGGGCCAGAGAGCTCTTTCTATGCGTACGAGTGTGTGTATATGTAATGGTTGTATGCTTGTGTGTATGTGGGCGTGTGTGTGTTTGGATAGGCTGGCTGGTCAATGAGCTCCAGGGATTTTCTGTCTCTGCCTCCCACTGTTGGGATTACAGAAGCTGCCAGGCCTGGGGATCCGAACTCAAGTCTTTACGCTTGCACAGCAGGCACTTTTACTGACCGAGCCAAGGTGATACAGCTAGAAAGTAATGAAGTTGAGAATGAAAGCTAGGTGACATGTCTCCAAAGTCTGTGTGCTCTCTACATGCTAACAATGTCACACTGGAATACAGAGATGTAAACTTTGCTTTGAAAACATTCTGAAGCCCATGCTTTAAGGACTTCTGCAGGGCACAAAGTGGACCACTAGCAATGTTCTGCAACAGATGGCTGAGGCAGTTCCTTTCCAACAGAAGCTGGGTTGTGTTGTGGGATGGTTTGTATGTCAAGTGTGTTGCTGATTGGTCAATAAATAAATCACTGATTGGCCAGTGGCCAGGCAGGAAGTATAGGCGGGACAAGGAGGAAAATAAAGCTAGAAAGTGAAAGGCTGAGTCAGGGAGACACTGCCAGCTGCCACCAGGACAAGCAGCATGTGAAGATGCCGGTAAGCCACGAGCCACGTGGCAAGGTATAGATTTATAGAAATGGATTAATTTAAGCTATAAGAACAGTTAGCAAGAAGCCTGTCACGGCCATACAGTTTGTAAGCAATACAAGTCTCTGTGTTTACTTGGTCAGGTCTGCGCGGCTGTGGGACTGGCGGGTAAGAGAGATTTGTCCTGACTGTGGGCCAGGCAAAAAAACCTCTAGCTACAGGGTTGTGCTTAGTGTTGCAGCCTAAGTGGAAACGGGAACAAGTTCCATCAGAACTGACTGAGCAACAGAACAATGCCTAGCACAGGTATTAAGGAAGGCCGATACATTGGCCTCATCAGCCATTTCTGTACACAGAGGCCATAACTGCTATCATGGGCACCCTCTGGAAAACACAAAGCTGAAATAGCATGTACTCGGAGACAAAATTAAAATTTTATATCTATACTTTAGAAATATGAGTGCTTCATAAAGACAAGCCATTAAAATGATTTAGATTTTACAAAGCAGACCGGGAGTGGGAACTGTTTTATCAGATTGCTCTCAGAAAGCTCCCTGACTGCCAAAACAACGGAAAGGAATTAGGTGCAGACAGCTCGGGGAAGCTGTGTGCGCTGCCAGCTTAAGCTTTTCTTCTTCTCCCACTGAAGCATGTTTTGGAAAATCTGTGTATGTATCCTATTGTATAGAGAACTTCAAAAGACTAAAGTGGACCACTGCAGAAACCTCAGAATATTGTCTTGAGAATACTTCAAATATTTTCAAAACACACCAGCATAAAACATCTGCATTGTGAGTTAAAGATGCCAATCGGGTTGCCAGTAAAGGCAGAGTTTAATATTCCCAGATGTTATCATACAGTATCTATGATACGTCGGCTGAGCAGGGTATGCACATTCGTACATCACAGTATTTTTTCAAAATGTAAATGTACTCCCCGAAGATATAACAAGAGCAAGGCTGAATAAATTGTCTGGAAAGTAAAATTCATATTTCTTTTTCATTCTTAGCTTAAAATATGGGGGAAGGGAGAAAGCAATAAAGCTAATTTCTCCATTTGCTATAACTTGAAAAACTGAGCTGCTACCTGAGAGAACTTAGAACACATATGTACATCTAAAATGAGCAGCCTTTCATTTGTCCAGTTCTGACTCTCAGTACCAGACACCTAAGTGCACACAATAGAAGCTAGATGTGCTTAATTCCCTAGGAAAGTCTCCTTTCTGAGAGAATCTTACAACATAGTCCACTCTAAAAACATCTTCAACTGGGCATAGCGGCTCACCCCTTTAACCCCAGCACTGACAGGCAGAGGCAGGCGGACCTTTGTGAGCTCCAGGCCAGCCTGGTTTACACAGTGAGTTCCAGGACAGCCAGGACTACACAATGAGGCCCTGTCTTGAAAAATCCAAAAACCAACCCCCCCACAAAAAACCCTTATACTTTAAGATAATTGGTTGAATTCTATGTAGACTGTTCAGAACAAAATGAAGCAAGATAATTTTACAATATTAAGTAAGCCATATCTCCACTGAAAAAAACATTTTAGAGGATTTAGTAATTTATAACAACTTTGTCCTTGTGAAAGTTGGTAGTAAGGACAGAATAGTGCAAATGGTTTAATTTTTGTTTTATTATCAGTATATATATGAATTCTATAAAACATGAGCTTCATAATGACTTTTCCCTACGTGTATGTAGCTGGAAGTTTTCTGTGTCCTGCCTGGTCCACAGCCACTCAGACCCAAGTAAACACATAAAGGCTTATATTAATTAAAATTGCTCAGCCATTAGCTCAGGCCTATCACTGACTAGCTCTTACACTTAAACTCAGCCCATTTCTGTTAATCTATATGTCACCACGTTTTCCGTGGCTTTACCTGTGTGCCATTACATGCTGCTCCCTGGATGGTGGGCTGGCGTCTCCTGACTCAGCCTTCCTCTTCCCAGAATTCTCCTTATCTGCTTACCCCGCCTATACTTCCTGCCTGACTACTGGCCAATCAGTGTTGTATTAAACGAGTGTACAAGAGCATTATTCCACAGCACATGTATATCACATACTTCAATTATATTCAGTGTCATGATCCTCTCTTTTCTCTCTACCCTTCCTTTTAGTCCTACCTAATAGTCCCCTTTATATTTTCATGTCTTTAAAAAAACAAACAAACTAGGTTTTGCATATAATAGCAAACTTGTATATCTGTCAGTCTGGCTTATCTTACTTAGTATGATAGTTTCCAATTTTATCCATTTTCTTTCTCTATGGCCAAATAATACTCACGTGTGTGTGTGTGTGTGTGTGTGTGTGTGTGTGTGTGTGTGTGTGTGTGTGTGACATTATATATTTCAGCAGTTTTCTGGGAACTTCTGGTTGGGAACCACTGTGTGAGCCTGCTTTAATTTGAGGACAAACATACAATGTCTTGCAGGTATCAGGCTGAGAGTACTGAATTCCCAGTGACTCCATGCCCCATAATCTGTGACCATGTGAGTTCTTTAATGCTTTTTCTTTAATTACCACCAACAATGAGTTGTTAGGTGCCTGTTACTGTTGTGCTAGGCAAGAGAGGTACTAAAATGTTTCAAATTTCTCTCCAATATGAGAAGATGGGTTCAATAGATTAAAACTAATGAAGTGAATTGATGTACACCAGGGAGGGCCAGGGTATTTGAGAAGCCCTTCACAGACAGCACTTGTGAGGGATGAACAAGGTACAAGAGGAGCTAGGAGCTGGACAGATGGAATAAGTAAAGTCACTAGAAACACAGGAGCTGGACTAGTCAATGCCTGTCTTAAAATAATGAGTAGGGCAGTTGGGTTGGAAAGAACTGTATTATTATTTAATGAGCCTTTAATCCCAAATTGTGTACAGCAGCTTAGCTGTTATTTTAGCAAATGTGGTAACTATTATTGCTATATTTAGCTAGCCTTTGGTACATCAGACTAGCCAACTGTTTACAATTACTTTTATTAACCCTAGGGAAATTACTGATGTGTCTCAGAATGTAACACTGACACAGTAGAACAATGGGCAGATATTTATTTAATCTGTGTAGCGCACAGCTCCATGGGCATACAGTTGCACTGGAAAGGTTCTAAGGGAACACAGTAGTTGCTCTTGCAAATGGCTGCAAGGGAGGGCGGCAAGAAGGTGAGTTAGCAGGTGAAGGTGCTTGCTGTCAAACCTGATGACTTGAGTTCGATCCCTGGGATGGATCCACACGGCGGCGTGGCGGAAGGAGACAAGAGAAGCAGCTCCCACAGCTTGTCCTCTGACCTCCACGGGCACGCACGCGCGGCATGTGTGGACCCCTTGACGAAACAAGTGAAAATGTTTTAAAAATGGCCGTAAGTAGAAAACACATAGGATCATATAGCTAATTCAGTGCTTTAAAGGAAGGCTCCGTGAGCCACACTTTAAAAAGTGATCTTACTCATATCCACGATGAGAAAGACTATCTGGGTACACGAAGACCCTGAACCTCTAGGTCTGGTCCAGGTCCTTTATCCCCACAAGCTCTACGACCATGTTCCTACTTTTCTTGTCCCCTACAAACACATCTTTACCTGGTGTCCCCAAACATACCAAACTTTAAGTACCCATATACCATCTTTTTCCACTCCCATAAGCGAGTATAAAAATCACAGAAACCACTTTCATTGTTACTTCCTACAAACACATACACACACACACACCCTATGCACATGACTATGCAAGCACACACACCAAAACAACAACAATAAACAAACAAACAAACTCATCCTTTCTCTTGCAAATCCTGCTTTGGCAAGTAGTAAACACCCCAGTCACCAGGTCAGATTCTTGAGCTCTGAGAGAGGTGCACAGTTAGATGGGGGAGACTGGAAACAGGAGGTAGCTTGGGATAGAGGGCGACGGTGAGGCCAAGGGGATTAAAGGGTCGCAGCATCAGGAAGGTTGAGAAGCACTTAAATCGGTGCTTAAAACAGATTTATGATAAATCCATTCAGTTCTTCGTTATCTTTCATTGTCACTATAATTTCTTTCAAGGTATTGATGAAGAAAAGCACCTTTTCCTTTGCCGATAAAATCAAGTGACTTTTCATCTTAGAAAAAGCAATTTTTTAAAGAGCTCTTTTCCCCAAGTTTAGAATGCTTTTCTGTTTGAGAAGTGGTTGACTCTGCCCCACCCTGTGTGCCTGTCAGGTTATTGCCTGTTTGCAGGCTCTGTCTAGACAAGCTTTCTCCATTCTGGAAAGAGCCTGCAGCAAGCACCTCATTCTCTGGGTGGACAGGATGCTTCTGAGAACCACGGGGTCTCTCCGGCTTCCAGGATCAGATCTCTCGGGAACTGATTCTGCCAGTTGCATCAAGATCCCAGAAGCCTCTGGGCTTTTGACACAATGGCTGTTTTTCTCCCCTGCCCCAGCAGGGCTCCTCTCTCTCTCCCAACTACCTCTTGCTGTCTCCCATGTTCAGTCTGGTCTTTAGCTCAGGCTGTGGTGTGAATAATGCTGGAGACATCTTCCAGCATTAGTGAGGGCTGTTTCCTATAAAACAAAAAGGGCATTCTTGCTGTGTTTGCCTATGAAGACAGAGAAGAGGCTAAGGAGAATTAGTTTTTGGGGTTTTCTAAAATTTCCAAAGTGTATTCAGATACTCTCATCTCCAGAAATTCTTTTGGAAGAAAAGGCTGGTTAAGGAATTTTTAGATCAGTTGGTTAAAGAAGTTTGACTGGGTGTGGTGGCCCATGCCTTTGATCCCAGCACTCAGAGTGCATGTGAATCTCTTGAGTCTGAGGCCAGCCTGGTGTACATAGTGAGTTCTAGGCCAGGCAGGGCTACACAGTGAGAGCCTCTTTCTCTCCTCCCCTGAAAAAAGAGAAGAGGAGTCAGAGAGCAAAGCTCAGGTTCAATTCCCAGCACCCATGTGGCAGATCACAACTGACTATAATTACAGTTCCAAGGGATCAGACACCTTCTGGCCTCCACAGGCACGGGAACGTACCATATGGTGCATCAAGATAAATTCAGGAAAAAACATCTACACGGATAAGAGAAAAAGAGAAATGTGTAGAACTCTGCATTCTGCTCTGATGTATAGCAATTCATATTGCAAACAAGCATAGTAGTGTAGCTCTGAGAAGTCCCACAGTAAAGAAATCTATTCCAGGTAGAGGGTGTAGCTCTGTGGTAGAGTGTGGATTGAGCATGTGCAAGGCCCTGAATTCAACCCTCAGCACTAGAGAATGGAAAGAAAATAATTCAGTGTTTTCCAAACTTGTGCCTTTTTTTGTTAAATTTTTGTAATATTTATGTGTGTGTAATGCGTGAGAGTACATGCTCAAGTGTGTCTATGCAAGATGCATGTATGTGTGCAGGTCAGAGGACAGCCTGTGGGTGTTGGTCCTCACTTTTCTATCTTGTTTTGAGACAGGTTCTGTTCCTTGTTGGGTGAGCCAGGCCAGCTGGCCCCTTAGTTTTGGAGCTGCTCCTGTCTCTACCTCCCATTTCCCTAGTGAGCAGTGATTTCTGATGCTTGCGTTACTGAGTCCAGCTTTGATATGGGTTCTGGGGATCCAAACACAGATCATCAGGCATGTGTGGTTTCCCTAACCCATGTTATTTGAATACTACATATCATCTCTAAGGAACTAGAAGGCTCAAAGCTACACGGAGGGAAATACCAGCGTCAACAAGTACTGGTATTTACTATACTCATTGGCTTTGCTGTTACTGAAGTCTTTGCCATAAAGGCTTGTTTTCATTCTCTGGACTTTCCTTCCTTCTAGGCTTCTGATACTCTGCCTTCTTCCACTCTGTGTTCCTGGCCGGGGTGTTCTCTACCATTCAGGTTCCAGCTCTGTCTGTTTTTCTATTCTTTCATCCTTGGGAATCACATCTTGTTTCTAATTTCAACTATCATTCATATACAGACTTGGAAAAATCATTCCGTGGGGTGGTTAGTTTTAACAGTCAACTTCCATAATCTACAATTACTTGGGGAGAGTCTCAATGAAGTTGAGATTGAGTTGTTGGCCTGTAGGGGATTGTCTTGACTGTGTTCATTGATGTAAAAAGACCCAGGATAAAAGCGGGTGGCACTATTCTTTTTGTTTGGGTCCTAGACAACATGACAAATGAAAATGTGAGCTAAGCACAGATCTGTGTGCATTCATTTTCTCTCTGCTTTGGACTGTGGATGTGGCTAGCCTTGCGGCTGGTCCTGCTGCCCTGACTCCATGCTGTGATGGGCTGGGCTGGAACTGGGAGTTCAATTCTCCTTCCTCCCTAAGCTGCTTGTCAGGTACTCTGACAGCCAACTGGGAAGGAAGCGAAGACACCTTCTGCTAGCTCTAGTCTCGCATCCTAAAATGGCTCCAAATAATTTCCTCTTGTACATTTGCAGCTTCTCAGATTTACCACATCTCTGCTTCTCCTTCCACAAAGCCCACCCCCTTCTGATTCCCCTTAAGGACTCCTTGCTAGGACTTTGAGTTTGGGTCGAAAAATGCATTTTAAAAATATTAGTAAAAGCTTCACTCAAATAGAAATCTATCTTTTTATCGTGTTTTCATTGATTGGGACACTAAGGGAAAGAGTTGTTTAAAACTCAGTGTGTCAAGCCCATATAATGTACCACAGCTACAAGACTGTAGTGGCAGACATAATGTCTGTTTTTATCACCAGGAGTCACTATATTTGGTCACCAAGGTCATTAACATTTTAAATGTAAAATAAAATGCCAAACATGAATACCCTTCATATATATGAACAATAACCACTTTTAGCCCATAAAGTTAGAGAAAAGTCCATTTTAGTGGCAATAAAGAAGATTAAATACTCAGAAGCAAACACAGTCACAAATGCACAGAACCTAGATGTGAGCATCTTAAAGCATCCTGCCAGGCGGAGAGCAGCAAATGGAAAGCCGTCCTCTGTTCCTGCATCAGATGAGTCAACATTATAAAGATGCCAGTTCTCCTTAAATCCATTTATAGAGTTAATGCAGCTCTAATAAAAATTCCAAGAAGCTTTTTAAAACAGAGCTATATAAGTTGATACAAAGTTCATGTGGAAGAGTAAATATTCAAGAATAGTCAGGACAACAGTGAAAAACAAAAATTATGAGAAGAGGAAGACACTGAGGAAGATAAAATACTTCAAGTAAAAAGGAAAGAGATTTAGAGAAAGCAAACATTATCTACTCATTTGTGCCATAGATAAGCAAAGAGGATAAAGCAGAAAAGGAGAGTGTTTGCTGGTGGGAGTAGAGAGGACCGGGGTGGAGAAATCGTAGCAAGACTGAGATGGCAATGAAACTTCTGTATCAACCTTTTTGGGTTTTGTGTGCTTTGGTTTTGAAAAACATGCATCTTAAAAGTTAGCATATAGAATAAAGGGCTTCATCATGGTGTTTTCACACATACATGCCATTACAAATAGACTTTTCCTGTAACTGGTTCTTAGAACGATGGTAATGAGACACATATTCCCCTCCCTGATAAATAAAACTAACTCCAGCCAGGATGTGAGGGAAACCAGAAGTAGAATATGAAGAGTGAGAAATGAACCTAAGTATATTAAATGGGCGATATATAACACGGAAGTGGATAAGGAAAATGATATTAGAACTATAAACTGTAAGACAAACCAACACATATCCTTGTATAGGGGCTGGAGAGATGGTTCAGCAGTTAAGAACATAGACTGCTCTTATAGAGGACCCAAATTCAGTTCCCAGTACTCAAGTTAGGCAGCTCACAACCACCTATTACTCCAGCTCCAGGGGATCTGACACCCTATTCTGGACTCTGAGGGCATCTAAATACATACATACATACATACATACATACATATATATATATGTATATATGTGTACAAATGTACACAGAGAGAAAGACAAACACACAGATATACAAACATACAATTCAAAAGTTAGAAATAGTTAGGAACTGGAGAGATGGCTCAGCAGTTAAGAGCCCTGGCTGCTCTTCTGGAGGACCTGGGCTTGAGTCCCAGCACCGTTTTCAATAGGCCAACATTTTTAAAAAAGCCTTGTTGTTATGTTCATTAACATGATAACAGATATTAAGCAATATATATTATATATATGTTGCAGAATAGAATATCGCTTTAACTATGTAAAGATATGTTACATTTGTTTATGTTTCAGAATACTACTTTAACTATGTAAAGGTGTGTTGCACTTATTTATTCTGCATTTGTTTAATTATGTAGAGATGCATTGCTGTTTTACCTTGTCTGCCTAAGGCACCTGATTGGTCTAATAAAAGGCTGAATGGCCAATAGCTAGGCAAGCATTCACAGA